AAAAAGGTGGTATTTGCAGTTGGATTTCTTAAATAAAATCAACTAGACGCCTTTGGCGTCTTGCTTCTTCTCCATTTTTTTCCTGATCGTTTCAAATAAGTAGGCTAGATTTATTTTGCTACAATGAATAAAAAGTCATTTTTACAGACTAAAAATCAACGAAAATTGCTTCGTTTAAAAAAGATCTATTCAGACAAATATTTTTAGAAAGTTCTCTTACTGAAATAAATATTTTCTACACTATCAATTATTAAAAAAATTTTCAATAAAAAAAGTAATTTATGGACAATTAACAGGAATTGTTTCATTAAAAAATTCCTTTATAGCTAAGGAACTTTTCATGCTCTCCCTTTCAATTTTGATGTTGTTAAAAGCCTTCCTCTAAGATTAATTTCTTTTTTATGGCATTAAACTGGTTCTACAATCAAATTGAGGAGCAGTTTAATTGCATTGGATTAAAGTACATGCATTCGATCTATTGCATTGGATTAAAGTGTCTGCGTGTGTGCAACCCATGAAATATTTGGGCTGATCAACTTCCCCAATAAGCCATTAAAATTGAATTTATTTGTTATCATTTTTCACAAACAAGGATTCAATTTAAAAATCATGTTAAAGAAGTTTCATTTTCAATGTGACAAAACAATTCATAATAACTTGCAATGCTTTTTTAAAATTTTTTTTTCTTTCTTTTTTTTTTTTTTTACTGAGTTCACATTTTAATCGACCACTTTCCTTGGATATCTGGGTTAAGTTAATTTTTTTCCAGTTCCATTTTTTTCCAATAAGCCTCTCTCAACGGATCTTCCGCATGAAGTGTGCTGATCAAAATTTTATCCTTATCACTAATATAAACGTATCGCTGTTTTTAGTACATATCTTAACTCTTTCAGAATTTCAGTACGTTAAGCACTTTATTTTCTCTATTTGTTAAAATTTTTTTTTAAGAAATATGCTTGAAAAAAATAATTAAAATTAGATGTTTCACTGAGAGTGAAAGTACGGACAAAACTACCAGAATATGGTAAATTTTACAGTGTTTCTGGCTCAATGGGAGCATCAAAAAGCCCGGTAACTTTTACTGAAGCGCTTCTGTAATAAGTTTTGTAAAATTAGCAATAAATTAAGAGTTTTATAATATGGGATAAGATTTGGTAATTTTATCATGATACCTTAGAACAAGGCCATTTATTCGGTTACCGCGCTTCACTTTTCAATTTTGTATTTTTTTACTAAACTAGTAAAAACTGTCATTTTAATAAACCAGAATTTCCTGTTAACTTTTACCGCGGGAATGGCAAAATGACCGGATTAACGGTTTAAATACCGCATATTTTGGTTTTGTTAATCGGAATTTTTTAATGCAATCATACAGTACAGTAATTTTACCAGAAATTTTACCAGAATGTTTCTTAATAATGTTCTAACGTTTTTGAAGAGATTCGATCAAATAATTATACATAAATTACAGTTTGAACTTTATTTTCGCGATTTTTTTGAAAAAAGATACAAAAAAGCATTGTTTGTAAATTGAACTGATGCTTTTTTTAAGTTTATCTTCTTTAGTTTTATAACACAATGCCTCGTAAAAATATACCATACATAAAGCTTATGCTTGTCGGATCAAAATTCAGACGCTCTTTTTCTTACATAACCTAGGATAATATCAAAATTTCAAAACAATCTTAATATAATTCTTCTTCAAATGTCTTTTTGAAATAAATATCCTATTGATAGCTTCTCTGAAAAGAGGTTGAATTTAGGGTTTCTATGAATTGATATGGAAGGCATCAATGAATGGAGGGGGATATTATTAGATATTTTGAGAACGAAGCCAGACAAAATTAACTAGTTAACTATAAAGACTACTATCAACTTTTCGATTGCTCGAAAACTATTTAACAAACAACCTATGGGAAATTCACTTAATAACAGCATTAATTATAAGCAACTGAATATTAATAGCAGAATTTTAAATAGTAAAATTAAAGTTAAAACATGAAATAATAATATTGATAACTTTTTTTGGCAATTTAAAATTGTATTAATCTCTTATTTAAATAATATTTTTGGGTAGTTAGGTAAATAGCAGTCTAAGGAAAAATGTTAATTATTTTTGAAAGCATCGTATCAAGACTTAAAAGTATCTTCTGATAATATTCTGTTTCAATAAATATTTCGATTTTTAAACTATATTACCCTGCTCTCACTTTAGAAAGTATTTAACGAACCTAACAATTCCAAAATTTTTTTTTTATATAAATTATATTATTGAAGAAAATTTTTTGTTTATATTCAAGACCAGTTTTTTTCCGATAAAAAGACAAATTATGAGTTTAATAAGTCAAATAAGGTATAAATAAACTTATTCTACCAAAATTAAATAAAAAAACAAAAAACTATTTAGACAATTAAGGGTCAGCTGGGCCATATGTGTCCCACCAGGTTATCAGACCGGACACACATGTCCCAGTTATGTTTCTGTCTGGTCTGCGAGTTATATATGTCACGGTGGCGCCAAAACGGTTAACATTTAAACAATAATTATATCCTTTTCACTAACTACGCAGTAAAAAAAAAATTCCCGAATCAAATTTCGGCACAAAGTTCAGAGTGCTGGTATTTTATACCATAAAATCCATTTTTACCAGAACATGTTACGAAGCAAAAAAAAAATTGATATATCGTAATTTTTACAGTAACAATTATCGTGAAATCACTCGAATAAGTAAACATTTCTGTAAACATTACTTTATACTATTTTACGGTAAAAATGGATTTTACAGATGATGCATCTGAAGTGCCGGCACATCATAACATAATTTCATCAGGAATTTTATAAATTTATACCAGCCTGAAAGTGAAATTCTAAAGACAAGTAATTTTAATAACAATCCGCGCAATATTTTTTTTTCTTCAGGAAATATATTTTTGTAATTTGTTGAAAAACTTTACGAAAGTGATTCGATTGTCGATTCGATAAATGATTTTTTTTGTTCCAGATTTTTTACTTTGCCTATTTATCATTTCTTAAATTTATAACGATATTGATTCAAGTAAATGTTTAAAATATTTGTTCAATATATATATATATAACAGAAGTAATTTACATC